TGGAAGAGGAATCTGAACAGACAGCTGTGGGCTTGGTTTGGGGCCAGTCAGGTCTGCTCTGCTGGTTTTGTGAGGAGCTCTCCGAATTTCGGGGCTCCTGGGCTCCCTGTCCTCTCTCAATGCACAGGGGCTGTGGGGCAAACGGGAGCCAGGGCTGAAGCCCCCCCTCTGGGATCTCCCCGTGTGTCCCTGACCCAGGGTCTCTACCCTCTGGGGTGCCGCCTGCTGTCAGGTGTCCCTGGTGTCCATGCCTCTGGCCAGGGCTGCTGGCTTCCCTCCTTCCTCCCTAATCCGCTCTCGTCTACCCCTCACTCCCTCACTCCCCACAGTGCTCCAGAGCGCTGCTGTGTTCCAGGCAGAGTCCTAAGGACACCAGGGTGAATCAGAGGGGCTCTCCGCTCTGTGTCACTCATAGACACCCCACAGGTGGGAAGTGCAGGAGGCTGTGTGTGCAGAGTGTTCTGGAACGGAGGCGGGTACGAGGTCTGCCTGCAGAGAGGGGGAGGCAGCCACCCCTGGAGGTGCAGGCCCCGAAGCTGGGCTGTAGGAGGACTTGGGTCTTCCCAGGGACAGGAAGCAAGAGCAGGGATTCCGGGAGGCACAGCTGGTGTTTGTTCCAGGGGTGAGTGGCCTGGGGCGGGGGTGCCTAGAAATACAGGCAGGGCTCACGTGCCCAGCCCTGGCCCAGGGCAGCCTTATCCTGCCAGTGGGGGCCCATCCAAGTGGCAGGTGTCTTGAAGGCCAGCGTGTGGGCTCCTTCACAGCCCTGTAGCACCTGGAACCCCGAGGACACAGAGAGGGGCCTGGAGATGACTGGAACAGCAGCTATGCCAAGGCACCCACATACAGGGCTCTGGACCACTCCCGGGGAAACCTCTGGCCACTTGGTGGGACTCTGCCGTCAGCACTGTGTACACTGCTACAGTATGCACCCATCCATTCCCCTGGGGATCCTCCCTCCCATTCGATCCCAGCGGTTCAGTGACAGATAACAACATCGCCTGCTTTGCGGACCTCAGGCCTTTGGCCACAGAATCTGGTCTGCAAATGGGCTGTCATAGGGTGGGTTCAAGAGAGCCAGTGGGTTTCCTCTTGGACATTGTTAAAGGGAAACTCCTTTCCTGCTGCCTGTGATGAGAAGTCTGCTCAGGAAAGGGGCAGACTGACAGGAGAGTGGGACCAACAGGGGACATCAATCCAGCTTGGTAGGATGCTGGATTCAGCCATGCCTGAAGCCATACCCAAGCTCTTCAACTGTTTTCTGTTATGTGAGTTAATAAATGATTCTTCTAGCTTAAGCCTGTATGTGTTGGGCTTTTATCTCCTGCAAACTGGAGTCCATACTGATGTATTATTTTTACCAATTTGCACTGCCTGGGCTCAGAAATCAATCTCAATGAGAAATTTCCTAAAAATTACCTTTCTCCATGAAATAAAAACAGACTGAAATATTATATATTTGGGCTAGACTGAGACTTTTTACTCTAAACACCTTGCTTTGCAGTTGAGGCCAGGCCAGTCAAGTGACTCCCCCAGGGTCTCCATCATCTGTTCACAAATACTGACACCCCCCCCCCCGCCATCACATTTCACACATTTAATCCTGTGGACAGGACAGATGAGTTAGGGGCAGAATCAGCATGAGGACCCAAGTATCCTTCGTCCTAGCTCACAGCATTCCCCTCTGCTCCACGATGCCTCAAGCCTAGAGGCCCAGAGTGTTTGGTTGAGTTGCCCGTGCTCACACAGCCACTTACAAACGGCGTGTTTCCCTGGGGCTCCAGTGCAGCCAGCATATGCACCGAGAAGCCCACTTCCCTGTCTTCTCCACCCAGATATCGAAGACCCTCTGATTTCATCACTTGGGGCCGTGGCCCTGCTCCTCCCTGAGTCCCGAACCTCAGGGCCCAGACAGACCCTGGTCAGTGCCTGTTTCCCTCCAACACGGGCAGGCAGGTCTTGTCCTTCCCTCCCTTCCCCTGTCCCCTGACTGCCAGGTACCTGGCACACCCTCTCCTGGGGTCAACCAGTCCGCTGGGCCTCTGTGTTGTATCCTCGACTAGTCTCCTGGGGAGACTGGAGCCCACATTACGGAGGAAGCAGCAAACACACAGCCTCCTTCCTTCCCTCCCTCTTGCTACCCATCTGAGGTTGTGCAGGGGAAACAGAACCTCAAGGCCACGTACTTGGGGTTTTTCACGTGTGGTGCTGGAGCACATGGGTGTACCCTCGCGCAGAACCTGGCCCCTGGCACTTAGCAGGCTCCTCTGGTCCCTGTCCCTGCTGCCTGCCCATGGTAGTGAAGGAGCAGTCTACAAGCACCCTGGCTGCCCGCTTCCCAAGCGCACACTCCTGCACCCTGCCTGGCTACCCTCCCCTCTCCTCCCCTCCCCTCCCCTCCACTGCCAGGTGCTTAAGGAGGTGCCAGTAAGAGCGCTCAGTGGAGAAGCATGCTCACTGCACGAGGGTGCCTGGGGCAACAAGGTACTGGGACCACAGCAGTCACGGGGCAGATGCCACTGTCACTCGTCACTTCGCTTCAGGATGAGGCTGCTCTGAGTAGCCCTGCCCTCCACTTACTCCCATCTGCTCTGAGACATGAATTCCCTCCATTTCACAGTAGCCGACTGGGGCACTTCCCAGTGCCCAGGATTCCCGGAAGGGGCTCTCCTGCCTCGTCCTCTTGGGAGTCTGGGGGCCTCTATTTGCAAGACGGTAAAAGCATCCAGGTCCCCTGTGGTCCTAAGCTCAGGGTGAGGAGCATTTGAGATGAGTGGTGGTGGTCCCGTGGGGAGGAAGCCAGGCCAGTCCCATGGGACAACAGAAGGCAGAGGTATTCGCGAAGCGCCCAAGGACTGGGGCACAGAGGCAGAATGTGGAACTTCCCATGGAGGAAGCTTTCTGGAGAAGAGGGCACTGGAGTCAGTCCTGGGCAGCAGGGGAGGACTCCAGGGCTCAGGGGGCGAGTGGTGCTCCACAGGCACTGGGTGCAAGTCTGCGTGGGGGCTTTAAAGCCCTACTTGGCACCTCCTGCCGGTGCCCTCGGCAATGCAGCTGGCTCCTCTGTGCCTGGGGCCAGATGGAGCCCAGGCTGGGGGGCTGGAGCCTCCCTTTCCTGAGGGTTGTGGGTCCAGGGAGCTGAAACTGGGAGGGGAGGAGACAGCACGGGGTGCAGGTGCGTGTGGGAGGAGGCGGGTAGCAGGACCAGCCTTGAGGGGGGAACAGGGGCAGGAGCACCTCCCGGAGAGGAGAGGGAGACGGGGAGATCGGCTTGGTGTCAGCGCAGTGCTGCAGGACAAGACCTGTGTGCCAGTATTCACAGCAGCTCTACTCCCAAAGCCCGAATGGCAGAGACAACCCAAGTGTCCCTCAACAGAGGGAGAGAGACAAACGTGGGGCATGCAGCTCGCTCCTCAGCCAGGAGAAGGAACGAGGTGCTGATGTGTGCTGCGAACCTCGAAAACGTGTTCAGTGAAAGGAGCCGGGCAGAGGAGCACAAACATCGTGTGGCTGATGCCACTCATATCAGAGGCTTAGAACAGGTGAAGCAGGCTTGGCGGGGGAGGGGAGGGTGGTGGGAGGGAAAGGGGAGGGACCACCTGATGGCAATGGCTTTGCTTTGGGAAGATGGGGCTCTGCACATGGCCGGTAGCAAGGGCACACAGCACTGTGAGCGTGCCCCGTGCCACTGCCCCATCCCCCTCACTCAGAGCAGTGAGGATGGCAGATTTTACGTTGCACTAGCTGACCCAGCACAAGACAAGCTGACCGGCCCCCGCAGCGTGGAGCACGGAGCTGGGCTTCCCGCCCACGGGGACCTGGCCAGCCGATGGCGCTCCCGGCACCCACATGCCTCCCCGCTTGGCTGCAGTCCTTTCCCTCAACGTCCGCCCTGGCCTCCGGGTTTAAGGCTCGGCCTCCAGAGGCCCCAGCTCCGAGTGTAGGCCACCACCGGGCAGTTCAGGTACTACCTGTCCTGGCCAGCTGGCCGTGCCCGTCCCTCTGCCCTTGGCCTTGGTCACCAACATGGGTCCAGGAGCCGCACACTTACAGACCACGGGGGCCTCGTCCTCTCCCTGCCCATGCTTCTGCCCAACCTCCGTGAGCTCCTGTGAGGCCAGGGGCATCTGCCCCAAACTCCGACCACTCAGCACCCCCCATGTGCTCCGAGTAACCCCTGGGGACAGATGTGAAGAAAGGCCAATGGAACCTGTGCTCCAAGCATCTCGTTTCCCCTCATCTCTTGCTTGGCCCTTCTGGAAAAACCCTGCTAAGTTAGGCCCCCAGTGCTGCCACCTGCCCTCTGATCTGTGAATGTAACCTCTCTGAATTTCAAAAGGTCACCTGACGTGTTTCTGTGGGCTGGCACAGTGGCCAGACCTCCTTCTCCTGCGAGCCTGGGGACTCGGTGTTCCGGTGGTTCCTGGCCTGGAGCCTGGCCCTCTCACTGCCCCCACAGATCCGGCAGGAGCCCCAGCAGAGGAGGAGGAGAGTGGGCAGGGCCCTTGGGCGGGAGGTGAGGCAGAGGACAGAAGCCCAACCTGATCTCAATGCAATACGACGCCTCGACAGAAGGGACAGCCCTTGAAACAAACTCAGGACCCACGTCTTATCTAAAGGGGTATGAGCAATGATCCGTGTGGCTTTCCAAGACCCAAGAAGGGCGGTTAGCAGGAGGTCAGGCTGAGGCCTGGCCAGGGACCTTGGGCGACAGAGTACAAGCACCTGCTGTGGTCGCTAAGGCTCCCACACGCCTGGACACCCATGCAGGCCACAGCCTGCCTCCCCTGGAGCGCGTCCTGGTGAGCGGCGGGCTCCAGATGGCAAACCGACCCTCGGTTCTAGAAGCAAGGGTCACCCCGGCTGTGGGGACTTTCCAGCCAGCGGCACACCCTGACCTGCCCAGCGGTGACCCAGAGACTTCCCGCCCACCACCATCAGAGTTGGCCTGTGAGGGTGCCAGGCCAGGTCTCTCGGAATTTGGGGTGCTGGGGACTTACCGGCCTCGCCGACAAACACCTCCACGGGTGCGCTGGCCGGGCTCTCGCCTATGATGTTGTAGGCGGTCAGGATGACCTCGTAGCGCCGGTATTTCTTCAGGTCTACAGGTCAGAGGAGACGGCGGTCAGTTCGCCCAGGACCTGGCCCATCTCCTAGACTTAGAGCTGCAGCAAGGGGGTCGCTGCCTCCCAGCAGCTGCTGGGGGTGGTCACGAGCATTCCCCTTCTCCTCCTTCCCTGGCCCAGGACTAAAGGTCACCCAGTGAGGCAGCAGAGACCCATTCCACTGGGCGTTTGGGGTAAAGGCAGCAGCAAAGCCCTCTTCGGGGGAAAGAACCGCGGTGACAGAACATGATGTGGGCTTTGCCGTTTGCTCCAGAATCGCTCTGTAAGAATCTATGGAGTAAGACCCTGGCAGTTAAGCAGGAAATATATTGCAAACCAAAGGCCTCTGAGTCTTTAACCACCACATCCTGGGAAGAGAAAGGTATGTGAAGCTACATATATAGGATTACACAGGACACATGGTGAAAGCGGCTGACCTTTGAGCCAAAACATTCTGGAAGGTTCTCCCGCTGGCTAATCTTGTTTTGTCACAGTTTGGCTTTCCTGAGGCCCTATGTGCGGGTCTGGCCTCCTAAGTGAGCGGTGACTCACATCAGGCTTCAGATCGTGATTCCCAGTGGGCGGCCGCTCAGCAGAGGTTCAGAGCCTCAGGACGCCTAGCTCCTTCCACCCCAGCCTCACAGACATGCCCAGCCAGCCGAGCAGGCCCCCCTCCCCCCCGCCCGCTCTCAGCCTTGCTGAGGCCATGCCACCTCATACTAAGCCACCGCAGTGGCCTCTGCCACACGCACCCGCCTGGCTTGTTAAGTCTCCTCCCGGGACTGAGCGGCTCTTCAGTGTTACTGGAGACAAGGCAGCATGGACGTGGACACAGTGTGTGGTCGGGGCGCCTCTCCTGTTTCACAACCCAGACTGACAAGGCCAGAGCATGGTCCAGCCGGGCAGCCCCATCTCTGGAACCCGGGCTGCACTGAACTCACGGGGCTGATCCTCAGCCGGGTAGCGTCAGGGGAGACAGGCAGTGGGTGGGGAAGTGGGGCAGATGGCAAATGACAGGGCAGGTTTGGGTCACAGCGTGGAGGAGAAGAGGACTCGTGTGAAGCCTGCCCGGCCAGCAGGGCGGGGTACATTGCCCAGTGGCTCCTGGGATGTGATGAGATGGCGCTGGAGAGCCCTGGGAGAGTGCCTCCCTCCACTTCCCTTATCCACATTCTGGTCCAGGGAGGTTCCCTGCACGCAAGGGAGTCATGTCATGGGCCCCCCTCGGACCTGCATTTGGACCGTGAGACCCTCTGAGGCCCAGAAATGCAAGGGCCCGTGACTTGGTGCGGCCAAAGGGAAGGGGTGATGGACAGACGGCCCACATGGGCTGAGTGTGCGTGGTGGGGCGCTGCTCAGCCTTGGAAAGGGCCGGTGTCCCAAGTGGGCTCCTGCAGGGACAGAACTCCAAGGGGAAGAGGGCAGGGACTGCGCTGTTTCGTTCGCATGGGGTCCCAGGGGGTGTGGATGCCGAGACAGAAAGTCGAAGGTGGGTGCCAGGGGCCGGGTGGGGGAGTCGAGCATCCAGAGGGGACAGAGTCTTACTGCGGGAGAGAAAGGAGCTCTGGGCGCTGGGGTGATAGCCAGGAGCTAGCTTACGGCTCCCGAGCCCCTCGCTTACAAACTGTTAAGATGGTAAATTTTACGGATATGTTACCATGATTATTGCAATAAAGAGGAAAAGGAAAAGGTCCCTGGGAGCCTGACAGACCTTGCTCAGCCTGACTTCGCTTTCTGTCCCAAAATCGAAGACCAGCTGTCAGTAAAAGCCCTCCCCAGTCTCAGTTTCTAGAAGTTTCCTTTTCTGCCTCCCTTGTGGTTTTGCTGTGTTGAGAACAGCGTTTGAGAGGCGGAATTCCAGAAATTAGAGCCATTAATCCAAGCTGCTTTCCACTCGGTGCACTGAGAGGCCAATTGGCGCTGGCCCTGGCCTACCCCACAGTCACGGAGCCTCCTGCTGAAGGCGGCGAGCACTTACGTGTTAATTCATACGTCGTTAACGTGGAGCTGCTGTTCACGGTCTGGAAGCTGCTTTGGGCTATCAGGGGCAAGCAAGGCAGAGAGGCAGTTAGCATGCGGGCAACGGTTGCTGCGAATGATGTGCTGCGCAAACGGAGGGGCCGGCGCCTCACTTGGCGGCCGCTGCGCCTCCCACGTGCCTGCCATGGGCCAGAGACTGCACAGCCCTTAGCACTTCCCCAGGGCTCAGGGGGGGCCTGCACTGCTTCCTGCGAGAGCAGGCGCCCAGCCCACGATGGTGGGGCCTACGCGCACCCTCTGATTAAACGCATAGGATTAGATCCGGCACAACAGTGCAGATAACACTGGAGAAGACACCCCCGCCTCCCAGCCGCACACACTAGGTGCTCTGCCCGAGTCCGTCCAGGGCCTCCTCGGCTCTTCGGCCTCCTGACCACGTAGCTTTGCCAGGACCCTTGTAAGTCACGCCTCCCCTCGTGTCCTCAGTGAAATCCCTTTCCCCTGGCAGCCTAGCTCATAGGACTCCTGCTCTGAGAAGCCTCCCCTGTTATCCTCTCTGTGGAGCTTTCTAGAGGCCGTCCGTCCTCTGCGTGCCTGGGCTGCTGCAGGGCCCCGTCCACCCAAGAGGCTGTTCACTGGAGGTGAGCGGCATCTCCCCCGTGCCCTGCACGCAGCGAACATGCACACTCTTCCCCGGGGGGATCTCCCCGCCCCTGCCCCCCATGCCTGTGTCAGGACGGGGAAGGCTTTCACCTGTGAGCTCAGCCCGTAAAGCTGAGGGGGTTTTGAGCGTCTTGGATGCTGTGACTGAGGATGCCTCGGACTCCAGCTCCCGGTAGTAGATCCGGTATCCCTGGAGAAGGCCGTTCAGGCTCTCGTCTCTCGGAGGCTGCAAATACATCACAGTCAGCCCAGTGGAGCGGCCTGGCGCCCCCGACTTCACGCTGAGTCCTCCAGCAGCACTGGGGTTGATTCAAAGAGGCAGTTCTCGGTTATTTATGAATGAAAGGGCCGGTGCCACAGTCATGAAAGGCAGCACAGGGCACCCTGAGGTCGAGGGCCAGGCTGCGGAGCCTGCTCCAAGGGCCCAGGTTTCCTGGTGCCGGTGTGTGGCACCGGGCATTGTGACCCATGTGCAGCCTGCAAGAGTTCCCGTGGGCAGGGACTGCACCTGGGTCGCAGATAGGCGAGGAAGCTGCCAGGCACCGGTGAGCCAGATACTCCCAGAGAACTATGCGTGTGGCTGGGCCCTGCTGCACCCATGGACCCCGCCCTGTTCTGACGGCTGCCCAGGCTTGTGGCAGCCTCACACACAGGGATGCGCTTCTCAGCCAAGGCCCAGCCTACATCCTCCCTCCCATCACCTTCTGTCCATTAACGAGTTTGGGGAGGGCCACAGCAGCCATGGTGCCGGCCGGGGGACCGGGGACCCTGGGTCTGGTGCTCCCTCAGGGGTACTCAGCAAATAAGGACAAGAACCATCCGAGCTGTGGCCAGACACATGGACAAAGGGCATGTCCAGGACTGCTGGCAGCAGGGTTACGATGTTTGTCCGGGGACAGGGTGGCACACCGAATTCCCCGTGACCCCTACACAGCCACTGACTATAGGGTGTCACCAGTGCCTCAGTAAACACTGTCCCAGTTCCACAGCAGAGACAATAGCTTTGTTGTAGGAAAACCCCTCGGTTGTGGTGGGTTGAACCGTGTCCCCTGTAAAGATACGTTGGTGTCCTAATCCCCATTCCCTGCGGAGGCCACCTTCTTCAGAAACAGGGCCTCTGAGGACGAAGGTAAGAGGAGGTTAAGCTGATGCCTTGGTTTGGACTTCTGGCCTTCAGAACTGTGTGAGAATTCGTTTGTGTCGTTCTAAGTACTCGGTGTGAGCTAACATGTTTGTGGCAGCCCCAGGACATTAGCACATCCTTGTCCCCAAACTCTCACAATGCAATTCTTATGTCTGAAACCAAGGACCAGAGGGATCTGGAGGCTCAGATTAATCCTGTTCTCTTTCAACCCTTGCTTCCCACAACCCGAAGAAACCAGGCAGGTTTGGATGATGCAGAATCCTGTTGTCTGGACTCTCCAACGGCATAGCTCAGCTAGCTTGTACTGATGTAGGCTGCCACGGTATAGATGCGGGCCTGGACCAGAGGGACACAGCGTGCCGGGTATATTCCGGGTGTTTCTGAACATGAGAGCAGCTCACATGGACTCACAGGCCAGCTGCCTCCCTCAGCCTCCGTGTGACAGTGACAGCTGACAGCTGCGGGCGTAATCTGACCTCAGGCCTCTTCAGGAAGGCTTCAAAGGCCCCGGGACCTGACTGTGCAGGTGTGCAGGCCAGAGGCACAATTATTGGAGGATAATTACTTTTCATGGAAAGAGAAGCTGGGGTCGAGGGAGACTGGCTCCCACCGGCCACAGGGATCAACAAGCAGGAAGTTGGGAGTCTGGGCAGATCGGGGTCCTTCCTTGGGGTTCTGCAACAGAGAGCAAATACTGCACCCATGGCCCGTGTCCACACGCATCCTGGGGCTGGAGGGAGGAGGGGAGGGGCTAAGGCCAGCCACTCTGAGCTCACGAGCATTTCCAGCCAAGGAGGAGAGGGAGCCGAGCCCGTATCCCATAGCACAGCTGCTGTTCCCAACGAGGCGGGACCCGTATTTGGCAGCAGACTCACAGTAGCTACCCCAGAAACACCCTGGGGCGGCCCGTCTGGGCATGGGGAGGGGACAGGTGGCCATACAGCCCGGAGGGTGGCCTCATTCAGACTGCAACAGGTCTTGGCCCCGCCAAGGGCAGGCTCTGTGGAGATGCTGGGGTCTGCCCGGACAGGCTTCTGGAATGGGTTTAACCACACTTTCTGTTCCTGGAGTTCAGAGTAAACCCATCTGTCATTTGTGAAAGAGACCTCTGTGACTCTGGATGTCCTGGCAGGTTTCAGTAGGGCAGCTCCATGTAACACACGGAAAGTTCCAGAAGCCATGGTCTGAGTTCAGGCTCTGGGATGGAGTCCTGGCTCCCAGCAGTGCAGGCTTGGGCCGGGTTGCTCAGCCTCCCAGGCTCAGCCCCGTACCCATGACAGGTGGACAGACGGCGTCTAGAGCCTGCTGGGACTCTGACCAGAAGGTTCCCTTTCAGCAACAGACCTGCTTTTCCAGCCCTCGGCTCTGACCACCCCACGCTGGTAGTTTCCGATTCCACACCGACTCCATGTGCCACAGCCAAGTCTGCGTCTTTCAATTTGTATTTCCCCACTCCACCCGTGACAGGCTCCGGTCACGGCAGGTGCTCGCTCATGGATTTGCTGATGTCCAAGATGACCCCGCCTATGGTTAGTTTCACCCTTGACTGGCCACCTGTCCAGGAGATCAGGTGCCTGTCTCTCTGCCTTTTACCTGGGGTGGGGGCAGGGACCATCCGTCCTGCTAGAAGCGGTCAGAAGCACCCTCCCAGCTCCCCTCCACTGTCTTCCCATGAATGTGTCACGGGGCTCAGCCTGCTAAAAAGAAGGCCTTCAAGGTCTTGAATTGGCCTTGTCCACCTCTGAGTGCCTAGCACCTTACGCAGGAACCGGTCTCCTGCAGGTAACAGACAAAAAGAACAAACCCAAGAGACGTCCTGAGGAGGTCCCGGTGCCTGGACCCCCTGTCTAGGTGGCGGTCACCATCCTCTTAGGAAGGTGCCTATTCAGCACTGAGTCCACCCTCTGCTGAGTCCAACGTGCACAATGTGATCTGCTGCCTAAGAGGGTGTTTTTCTGCTAAAAAGCAGCCTTAGCATCCACTTAGAGAAGTCTGCAGCCACACAAAGCCAACTGCATTTGAGTGACAGACGACAGGAGCCACTGGAAGTTTCAGAACAAAACAGCTTAAATGTTGTGACCAGCACAGAAGCATTAGTGTCTATTAGGAGCTGCACTCAGTGTGAACACAATACCACCGCTGTCTAGAATATATGCTCAAATCCTTAGATTCCAAATAGGCCTGGACCCCATGAAAGGCAGAGACTGATTATTCTACCAGGAAAAATCAAACCTGACAGACTGGACGGAGGAGCCGCTTAAGTGGGTCAGCAGCCTTGAAATTACAGGTGGTGTTCACATTTTTCAACAAATTACTGAGGGGAAAAAAAGGGTTTACAGGTGAAACATTTCATCTGGGATGCAAATCTATATTTAAACAGAGTCTCTCTGTTCTGTTCACTCTGATTTAGTAAATTACTCATAATTTTAATTATACTTCAATTGCCTGGCAGTTGACAGGCATTTATTTCTACAATACATCGTATTGACCACCTCCTTCTCTGGGCTTCTCGCAATTAGTTTGTTCTACTGGGCTCTGAACAGGGACAGCTGATGGACACGCATGCCAAGTTCCTTTGGTGTGGCTACCCACCAGCCACGGAGCCGTCCAACCGCAACCGAGGGGTGTGGAGCCCCGCGTGATCAGGGGCAGGATGGGGGCCGAGAGCCGCTGTGTGGAGGGGATGGTGCGTCTTGAGCCTTGGCCCAGCCTCTATAGTAACTAGGAGCTCACCTAGTTCCTGGCAAGCCAAATGGCACATCTACAAAGAAAATGCTCATTTTCTGGTAGAATTTAGCAAAGTTAGAAAAGAACAATCTTTTGACGGATTGAGTTAGCGGAGAGTGGGAACCAGAAGCTTCTGGAACCTTGCATCTCCATTCTGAATGCCTCCCACCTCCCACCCAAGGCCCTGCTGGAAGTCAGATGTGTGGAGAGCTAATGAGGCTGGCATTAGAGACCTTGCAGGTTGCCTTTGACCTCCCAGTTTTACAGAAGAGGAGCCTGGAGCCAGAGAAGCCCATCGGGGTCACAGTGGTCCCCTGGTGAACTGGGGTCTGCAGTCCTAGAGTTCTTCATCACTTAGCCGAGGCTCTGTGTGAGCTTGAGGGACGCAGCCTCCCAGAGGCGGGCACTTGGGTGAGGCTGGAAATGACAGAATGCCACAGCGGCCAGTTTCCATTTTCATCGGATGACGTCTGGAACTATCTCTTGATCATCTTTAAGGGTTCCCTCACCCCTGAGCGGTGTCACTTAGCAGCAGAGAGTGGAGAAGGGCCCCCGGCCACTCTGTCAATCCCTGGGGACTTGGCGTGATTACTGGAACCCAGGCTATGAAAGTCCGGCTCTCGTCCGGGGGAGAGAGGCCATGCCAAGTTCCACCTGCATCGACCCTCCACCTGCACTCCTCAGTCGTGGCCAGGGCACATGGGTGGTGCTGATACCTACTGATGCCACTGAGTGGCTGCACGTGGGAGGCAGCGGGAATCTTCAGCAGTCGGGAGCCACCACTTGAGAGTTCAGGAAGCCCCCTGACGGCTGGCGCGCACCCCCTAACCCTGGTCTTCCGGCCCCAGGAGGCTGGGGGGCCCTCCGACTCAGTGCTTCTCTCCCTCTTGCTCCTTGCTGGGCTCCAGCCCTTGCCTGGAGGGCCTCCAGTGTGCTCTGAACAGGCTGTTGGAGGCCGTCTATTTAGGACAGGTTCCCTGAGGGTCACCTCTGCATTTTCCCCCTCTCTCCCCACCCTTGCCCTTCGTCCCCACCCTTTCCAAAGTAATCCCTTCCAGCCCTCCCTCTGTGCCAGCCTCTGCCCACAGTGAAGCGTGGCCTCTCTCTCTCCAAGGCCACGTCCAGACTGTGGTCTGCTCTCGGTTCTGTAGTCACCTGGGCCCCTTCATCTCCAGACCCTCAAAGCAGCCCCCCTCCTCCTGCCGGCACTCTCCTGGACGATCTCCTCAACCTGGAGGAAGACGCCCATGCAGCGCAGACCCCGCTGTGGACCACCAAGCAGAGGCCGACCTGACCTTGCTGCAGTCGTGAACACAGACCAGGGCACCTACCCCCACCTCCCTCCCCCAGGACCCTGGGCTCCAAGCACTGGCTCCCCGCCCCTTGCCCCAGGAAAGCCACCCCATTCTGGCCTCTCTTCCTCAGCCAGAGCTCCCATGATGTGCTCCTCACTGCCTTGGGCCCTACCTGCCCGGCTCCAGCCTGGCCCGTGACCCCAGACCCCCCTCCCCCGGCCTTGCTGAGCCCTCTCCCTCAGACCCAGTCGGCCCCTCAGTTGGGCTTGCCCTGAGATGGAGCGGGTGCCCTCTCTTATTTTTGTCCTCGACACACGACGTTGTTAGCAAAAGCACAGAAATGTTCCAATTTGGCAAAGAAAGGACGTCCTTTCGACGTCCTGTTACAGCTCTGCTTAGTGGCCCAGCAAGATTACGTGATCATTTAGGATAACGTGCCTTCATCTGACTCACTGTTCACTGAGGATTCAGACCTGGGAGTAGGGAGGACTCCCCGTGGGTTTTTGTCTGGTTGCAAATGATTCTCTTAGAAAAGACACCTCCGCAGGCTACAGTTTCACCGCCCTGTAGGACGCTACCCAGTTCTGTATGTACCATGGAGGCCTCGCTGGGCCGCCCTTCTCCAGGTGCCTGGAACATTCCACCCTGTTGCCTGGCACCAGCCCTGCTGTCCTTCAGGCTCTCCTGGTGAGCTGAGTTCAAGCTCGTTCCCACACGCGCGGCCATCAGGGAGCCCCACGTGCTCCAGCCCCCTCTGCACGCCAACCAGGCTGTTTCCTCGGATTGGCAACCGACCCTCAGACTGACATGGGGCCCAGCCTCCGACAGTGTTTTAGGGAACACCCCGTGATCCCCGGGCCCTTACCCGCCACTGGATCAGCACGGAGGAGGTGGTGTGCGGCGTCACTGACACGGAACTGGGAGGCTCTCCCGGAACTGGAATCCAGAGAGAAGGCGAGGATTAACCGGTGCTGCCTGTACTTGGCCTTGTTCCGGAGCCAGCCCTCTCTAGGCACTGGTGAGGACGCAGGGCAATGGCCTGGCTGGGGCTTAGGGAGTGGGCCCCCAGCAGCCCCACTGCCCTCCCGCCCCTGTGGATGCCCTTCCCTGACCCCCTGCAAAGCCTGTTCCCCGCCCGACTGCTTGCCCACTCGGATAGAAGGGTGCAGATCCTGATGGAGGTGACAGGACAGTGCCTGGCCCTCACCCCCCTGGCAGACCCGCACAGAGACACAGGGCATGTGTGCCTCTTCCCTGGGAATCCTGCCGTGGGAGCCTCGCTGCTGGATGCACATCTTCTCAGGGGGGCACACCACCTCCCTTGGGGAGAAGCATCATTTCTTTGAGGTTCTAGGTCAGAGTGGCTCTGAACAGGATGAAAGATCAAGCCTGGCCAGAGGGCTCTTGCGCTCCCGCACAAATGTGACTGTCACGGAGGGGCGCTGACTACTAGCGGCAGAGGGACATCTCTGAGTCAGAGCGTCGTCTGCATCTCTGCCCTGTTCTCTGGACCGACAAGGTCAGTTTTCACTCTGCCCGTGGACGTGGCCCTCCATGCCAGGAACTAAAGCCCTGCAGCCATCTGCCATGGCCAGCGCTGTGAGATCCTGAGGCTGTGTGTCAAGTGTCCACAAACGGTCACTGAATGGAGTGATTTAGGCTGTTCTCCCCACCCCATCCCCAGGTGACTAGCCAGGGTTTGGTCCCCGATCATCTGCTCTGTGAGTCTCCTCTGCACCTGCCAGGGCACCCCCACCCGGGACAGAAGCCATACCTCCAGCCCCTCATCCTGCCTTCCAGGGAGCTCTCTGGCCTCTCACTGGTCTGTCTTAAGGTGAAGGTGGGCCCTCATCCAGCTTTCCTGATCACACTTGATCACAATTCGGGTGGGGGGGCGGGTCTCAACATCCCAGGCACCATAGTAAGAAAATGCTTATCAACAAACCATCCACACACTGAACACCCCCCTCCCACACACACACAGCCCCGGGCTCCCCAACCCAGTCCCAGCGATCTGTGGTTTGGAGACAATACAGGGCACACACAATGCGAATCCACAGCAAAGAGAAATTGCAAATCTCAGAAGAGAAGATAACAGGAGAGGTGCATCAAAAGAAGTGATTTAAATATCAAAGAATAAAGAAGGGCTTTTGGGAGCCTGGAGAGGCCCTAGAATGTGTTTTGTTTTGTTTTTTTTTCCCCAAAACAAGCCACTTCTGATGGAGCCCTGTAAGGGCAGAGTGAGGCCGGTCCTACTCACTGGCTGGCAATTCCCGAGGGTCCCGACAAAATCAGTTTGCTCTATTTGCTTCTTTTCACCAAGAATTAACGCTCAGTCTCCAACAGCACCCGAGTTGTGTTAAATGTAAGATTAAAATATGAGCCCGAGAGGTGACCAGTTTCTTGAGGGGCCTATCCCAGCGCATGCTGGCGAACAGGTCCTGTGGACCCCTTTGCTGGTCGTCCACGGCGCCGGAGGCCGCATCCCGGCGAAGCTAAGCTCCCGGTTATAAAAGAGGAGGATGGAAACCCGGGGAATTAGGACCCAGCGCTGCTGCGGGTGAGCTGAGGGCTCCAGGTTGCAGCCTGGGGTTCAGGGGGCCGTAGCACTGAAACTGGGCCTGACTGGGTCCGCACACAAAACCACACCAGCTTTTCAGGCCCACTCCTCTGAGGTGGGAGGGGTAGGTAAAGACCACCTAGAGCTTTTAGGGGGCCTCACCTCCATCGCTCACCTGTGCTTTTGTCCAATGGCAAGACTGTGGAGTGGTTTGTGGATGAGAAAAAATGGGAGGACCTCCGAAAACCTGGCTACCCTGTGACATTTATTTTTAATGACTCTATAAATTATTCAATTTCTGAGATGCTAATGGAGCGAAGAGGTTTGGAAGCCAATCAAAGAAACCCCCGTTCCATTTGGAAGCCCTTGAAGTCTGCTTCACGGCCACAGGCTGTGAGGAGAGCTGGGAGCTTTGTGTTACTAAGTGAATTCTACTGCTGGCCACCGCCGCCCTCCCCTCCGCAGGCGACCCCTTCCTGGCTCCGGATGAAAGCTGGGCCTCCCTCTGGGAGCCCATTCTTGGGGACCAGGAAGAGGCCGGTGTGTGCATGCCCGCCGGGGTCCCAGCTGGCTCACCATCCTGCAGCGTGGTGACCGCGTCCGTCTCTGCACTGAAGTCACTGTCCCCAATGTCATTGGTGGCTTTCAGGCGCAGCTTGTAGGAGGTGAAGGGCCTCAGCCTGAAACACAGAAGAAGGCTAAGTCCTGAGCCCTTCCCCTCTGGCCGGAGTGACCCTGCGGCCGGGAGGAAGATGCGCTGGGGGACCAGGGAATGGGTCCTGCCCGGGGGCAGGGGTGGGGGGTGCCCTCCGGCCAGCTCTGCCTGTCTGGGACAGATTTCCAGACGGAGGGCACAGACCTTCCTGGCGGATGGGGGGGGGGGGCGGGTTGCTTTGGGCTCCTGGGGAAGGAACTACCACCTCCTATAATTAGAGCCTCCCCTGCACAGCAAATCACTGCTCTCTGAGGGCCTTGGAACTCCTTAGGAGGAGCTCATGACCACATCCCTCACACCATTCAGAGCGTGAAGCGGGTGCTCCTAACCACATCCTTGCTCACCCATAAGCGTTCCTTTGTGCAGGCCTGCGCTGGCCAGATCCCCCTCCCCCCCAACCCGTTTATGCAGCTGGACGTGGCGGCAGCGTTGCCCTGGGTAACTGCATGGCAGCCCTGCGGGGCACACACATGGTGGTTCCCATTTTGGGGAAGAGAAAATAGAGGCCCAGTCCCGATAAAAGTCCATTGCCCGCTGTAAATGGCTGTAAATGGCTGGGTCCAGGTCAGAGGAAGATCTTGTCATGAGGCCACGCCATTCACTGTATCGAAGACTAAGAAAATGACAATGGTCCCTGGGGAGAAATGTCCCCTCCCACCCGCCGGTGAGGATTTACGGCACAGTGCTCGCTGCCACCACTTCTGGACCGCCTGCTCTGTCCATCCATCTTCCTTCCGTTCCTTCTTTCCTTCCCCCCACTGAGCAGTTCTGCGCTGATGGGGCTGGTGTGCTGAGCTTGGTATGATGCCCAAGACTAGGACTCTGGACAAATTTCTATGCAGGGGACACCGTCTTCATCTGGTCCCTGGCTGGCCTGCTCCTCTGGATGCCCTTGTATCTGTCTCCCAGACCAGGAAAGCTGAGTGACCCTGGACTCTGCCCCTCCCGTCCCATAGCTGCCTTGCCCTGCTATGGCTGGTCTGAGGTGCAGGCCTGTCTCCCGGCCTCTCTGCACCCTGGTTCCAAAGCTGGAGAAGCCATAGCGGGTAACCCTGCTGCGGCCCCGGCTGTCCTGGGGGTGCTTCTAAAATGCCACCCTTAAGAATGATCTTTGCTCCCAGTTTCTGGGGAAAGAAACTCCTTTATTAAGTTAAAATAAATAACTTTCTGTTTTTTGTTCCTAGCTTCTTCCTAGGAGCTATTTTATTGAATTCTAGTGACAACCACATGCTTTTCTCCTGTTTCCTGCCTCACCCACCGGAGGCTCCCACATTTGCATTAGCTTCTCCTTCTCGGATTAGAGGGCAGTGCAGGGTCGGTTGCCGGGAGCGTGCACTCTGGAGCTGAACTGCGTACACTCTAACCTGCCATAACCTTGGGCAGGTCAATATGCTGCAGGAGCGCCCAGGTCATGAGGTGGGTGTGTGGATCATACTCAGGAGAAGCTTGTGGAAGAGACTCTGGCTCCCAGTGCGTGCTCACTAAACACGGGCTGTTCTTCCTGTCATCGCTGCTCCCCTGGCACCAGGGCACAAGGCTCCAGGAAGGGCTCGTCCCACTGTGCTCTGTGCCCGTCATCTCCTCATCTCCCCAACCACGATCTGTAATTAGCCATTTGCTTCCTTGATGACTGTCTGCTTCCTCTACCTTCAGGACTCTGTGGGGACAGGGACCAAGCTAGCCTCGTTTTCTGCTATGCCCCCAGCACCAGGATCAAGGCCTGGCACCTAGGAGGCGCTTGGTGAACATCTATGAATGAACCAATGAATGAATGAATGAATGGGGATGAAATCATTATCTCCAGTGTCCTGGGATGGGTGAATGATAGGACATGGTAGACAGCCCGATAGCACAGCGTCTGGCACGTGGTAGGTGCACCGGGAATGAACCTTGTCTCTGAATGCAGCGCTTACGTTTATTCAGCAGCTTATATTTAGGACAGATGTCAAACACACCACTCATCCCTTCAGATGCAGGACCTCATTGCTCTCTAATGCTTTGGGAATTCAAGGCCAAGTGCTGAGCTCCTCCCCCCCACCCCAGGGGGGAGCCCAGGGCACAGGGCGGGTGCACAGTACCGGTCTGTCAGCTGTCTGGAAGCATCCACCCGCTTTGCGGTAAATAGGATGGGTGCATGGCCGGCACGAACACGGTTCCCAGTGTCAGGCCTGTTCCCGGGCCCACGTCATTCATGGGACTGATGAGCTATCTCAGGGGCTGCGGGACCTCACCCTCTCCCCCTGGTAGGAGCCTGCAGGGTGCCCTAGAAACAGGCCCAGACAGACTTGGCACACAGAAGAGAGCCCAATGAGAGGTGACAACAGTCACCCTGTCCCCTCTCCCGGTTCCCGGGCTCAGCTGAATCCTCTGCAAGCTCGCCCAGTCCCCCTCACCTCTGCACAGCTGGTCCCTCAGACCACCGGTATGGGACCCTCACCGGCCAAGCTCGCAGGAAGCAAGCACGTTTGGAAAGCCAGCCTGTACTGGTCCAGTGTTGTGTTGCCTCCCTCGTGTCTGAGCGTGGCTCCATGCCAAAGCGCTCGGCTGGGGGTGGGGGGACGCGGCTTACAGTCCATTTTCCTCCCACGGACCTGGAGGCAGCGTCTCATGAATACAGGGAGCTCCGGAGATTCATTCATCTGTTTCGGTTGTAATAAGAAAGCACGAGTCCTGAGGATTTTAGAAGCTACCTACCACTGCCTTTCTGTATTTATTTATTCACCTGTAAGGTACTGAAAATATCTATTAAGAACTCGCGATTTGTATCACAGAGAGCAAGGAGTATTGAACCCCTGGATAATATCCTTGGCCAAATTTACCTGACTTCTCACGTGGCTTTATTTTTAAAGATCACACAGAAGAAGGAGACAAAGAACGCAGTGGACATGGGGCCGGCACACTGACTTTAGCTGAATCCGTGTTGTTTCACACAGGAATCCCCTCTGGCTGTGGTAGTTTGAGTCGGATCCACCGTGTCCCCGTGGAGATGTGCAGAGGCATAGCAGGACCCATCATCACTGGGTATACAGCTGTTGCCTGAGCCTCCACCACCTCTGTCCCACCCCAGTGACAACCAGAATGTCCATGTGGCTCTGGACTTGCAGACCTTCTCCTCCAGGACTGAACCATGTTCCTGTGGGTGGCCGCCACCCCCCAGGAACCGACGCTCCCTCAGCAAGTCTCTCAGCCCAGTGCCTCCCCTCCTGCTCCAGACCCACGCCCCCTACATGTGGGGACAGCCCCTGGACGCAGATGGTTAAACTTCTCGCTTAGAACTTCTGTGACAACTTTTATGTCTTCTGGTCATTAGCAGATTTCATGAACTTGGCAAAAATGAAACGTCAAAAGAATGTAAAAAAAGGAAGGAAAATGTAGCTATAAGCACACATGCCACGGGCTACGCAAACCTCTGCTTTCCTGGGAAGTGGGCCGGTGGCGTGCTTCTGCTGACCGGCGGAGGGGACCCTCTGGGGGCTGATGGCAGTTTCTCCCACAGCAAGTCAAACTGTCTGTCTGGAAACACGGACCCCTCCTCTCCGACGTGAAGTCCCTACACACAGTTGGTCTGTTGGATTTCAGGAGGCTCCACAACAGAAAAGGCCTCCAGATTTTACATCCCCCCTTTTCTTCGGGATGCACACGCCAAGGGGTGCAGGTGTTTTTATCCCTAAGCACATTCTAATTAAGCTGAGCACCAGGGCGGTTTATGAAGCAAGCTGGGCTCCCTCGCCGCGCTGTAGCCCCCCGACCCTGGGGGTCGTGCTGGGGGCCTCGAGGCTCCGGGAGGCAGTAGGATGCTGTCCTCTGAGGGGCTGAGAGCCGTACCTCTCGGGCTCTGTGGCTGTCGCTCAAAGGGTGAGTGGAGTGTTGGCAGAATTTGGGGCCCGAGGGGGGCTGCTGGGGACTAATGGAGGCACATCTTGGTCTCACAGGGCTGAAAGGGACAGTGAGGTCATCCCTCCATGTCTGTCTTTCACACACGAGGATGTGAGGCTCAGTGAGCTTGCGCGGCGGACCTCCCCAAGGCCCTGGCGCTACCAGACCACTGAGGGCTCGGTGTTGGTGATGACACATGGAGTCTTCACCCACAGCAGACCCTCATGAATGGACGGCCTGTGGCCGTGAGCTTGCGGTGTGGGAGCTGCAAGACCCCGAGGCCTGGGTCTCCCCTGCTGAGAAGCTCACTCGTGACCTGAAGCGTCCCTGCCTCCACTTCCTCATCTGCCAAGGCTTCTGTGTACGTCTGCAGGCCTGCTACGGGCACTGTGTGGGGCTTTGGGAAGGAAAGGACGCTGTCTAGTGTGGGGACAACAGCGGCCCTGATAGTGACTGTAGTGAGGAAGGCCCCACAGGGGTGCTGACGGTCTGGGAGCCTCCAGACCAGCTCACAGAGGTGAGCATCACATGGAGGCCACTCCTGCTTCCTCTTCCTACAGTGAAAAGCATCATTACAGCTGTAACTGTAGTTTCTTAAACATCTATTTGCCAGCGCGCATATCTGAGCCACCGCTGTCCCTTCTGTGGGGGGCCAGGCGGTGCCTCGGGCCCTGCTGGAAACACCACTTGCATTGGGGGCTGTTCATCCTCTGCTTTCAGACAGATCTGGTGCTTCCTGCATCATGTGATGGGTGTCACGGGGCCACGAATATTTGGGTCCCAGGCGGCTAGAGCTGTAAGCTGCCTTCTCAGACTGTCACCTGCCCTGAAAGCTGTCTGCAAAGGGGGTGTTAGGTCTGGGATCCACGACAGGGATGCCGGGAGACCCGTGCCACCCGCTTGGGGCTGCTCACGGATGTGCGGTGATGACAGACGCTCAGCACGCAGCCGCCCTACGCCGCCCACCACCACCCCAGCCCACGCTGCCGGGAACTGCGTGCTGCCTGTGGGCCATGCTACAACGCGGAAGGGGAGCGCTGATGAGCTGCCCAAGACCACTCACGTGGCACCAGCACCTGGACAGCTGTGGCCTCACAGTCTCTGCCTTCCCGTGATGCCCCAGTGCTGACCATGTCACCTCGGTCATGGGCTTGCTCCTCCAACCCCTCTCTCTAAGACCTTGCTGTTGCTGCATGCTGGAGGCCATGATGGAGCCACGGTCCAGCCCCACGGCGCCCCTGCAGCCTGCACTGTCCCTGGGTGGGGGGTTGGTGAGGGTCCTCTACCCTGGCTGCTTTTCCTTGGCTCAGGTTCGGCCCAGTGCAGGAGCTGAGCCCTGAGGCCTGGCAGAGAGTGTGGGTCAGGACGCCAGGTAGGTGCTGGGGCTGCAGGCTAGAAGGACTCTCCTGACCTCGGCTCTCATCTGTAGAATGGGCACAGCAGTCTTCCCCAGCATGTGGGTCTGGTGAGAAACGTGTGTGAAATTTCCCAGCATAGTGCCCGGAACAGGGCCGCAGGGGCGCTGAGGACGTGTTGGGTCTGACCAGTGAGCAGCCTGGGAAGCACCGTCTTGGCCCCCTCCCCCTTCTTGAGAGGTGCTGGCCCGGCTCCTGGAACCCTCAGAGCTGGAGGGACACATTCCTCCGCGGCCCCCTTGTGGCTGGGCATGAGCTTCATGGAAAGTGACCACAGTTGGGGCCAGGGAAGGAGCACAAGGAAGATGCCAGGTGGGCTCCCTGGACAGGCCTGTCCCCAGAGAAACCCAGGGCTTCTGCAGGGTGGCGTGAGCTGTATGCCCTGGGCCCCACTGTGGGGATGCAGGGCCTGAGGTCACTTCTGAGAAGCCTCATCTAGACGGTTATGTAGCCTTCATCTCCCACCATAGAGGAGGTGTCCTTGCCCCTGACTGTAGAGCGGGTGCCCTCATCCCTCACTGTAGAGAAGGGTGGGATTGTGAGAAGGGTCCCAAACGAGGCCATGGGTGCCAAGGGCTGAGCTGCGGTGGTCAGCGCTGCTCTCCTCCCCACCCCTCCCCACCCCTGCATGGCTGGTGGCCCCCTCAATAACTGGATAAAGCTGGGTGCTCATCGTGCAGGGGGGCTGCCCCTCCCAAGCCCCTGATCAGCCATCATGAAAGGATGGCGGGGTGGGAGCCGTCTGCCCTGCTGACTAGGAGACAGAGCACAAAGAGAAGGTGTGACTCTTTCCGCCCGCGGCACCTCTTCCCCATACCTCCCCTCCTCCGCCCCTGCTTCTTAGGGGATAAGGTGCAGGGCCACACTTCCAGGCTCATGTCCCCATTATCTGAGCCTCATCCACCCCAGGGCCTGGGCTTGCACAGCACCTGTGCAGGGCGTGGGTAGACGGCCAGACTCGGGCAGAGCCCTGAGTGGGCTCCAGGACACGGCATCCTGGTCCCTGGTGCAGGGAGCATGCGCTAGGAACAGGGGCATGAGCAGGGCCCTGCTCCCCAGGAGGGCCCTCCGGGTACCTTTCAACAGCACAGGCTGTGGCCTCGTGGCTGATGGACGAGGAGTAGGTCTGCCACTCTCCCTCGGGCAGCTCTCGCACCTGCACGGTGAAGTAGCGGATGGGGGAGGCCCCATCGCTGCCTGGGACCCACTGGAGCCGGAGGCTGCGGGCAGTCACTTCCGCCTGGGGCACCAGGAGCTCTCTGGGGGGTGCCGGCCGCTCTGCAACCCAAAGAGAACAGAGCAGGGGCACATGAGAGGGTGCTTCTCCAGGAAGGTTCCGTGAGGTCAAGCGTGGGGACTCTGCTGCCCTCCCCTCGAGATCACAGAGCATGGAGATGATTCCGGGACGCGCTGGAGACCCCGGTTTGCTCCTGGAACACAGCGCAGAGACAGACAGAGGTGAGACCACATGTGCCCCTCTGTGACCACCTCTGAATGACACCTGGGCTCTTGTGAGCACCTCCAGCCCTGTCTGATCTCCGGCTAAGTGCGTCTGTTGTGTGGAAACCGACCCGAGCCTGGCACACCACAGCGTCCAGCTCAGCTCCTCCCTGGCCTGTCACTGCTGCCCTGTGCGGTGGCGACAGGGAGTACAGGGCACACGGGGCCAGGACCGGGCATCAGAGTGTGGATCATTACTGTCCTGGGCCTCTTCGTCCATTGATTCCAAAAGAGCAACTCCATGGAGAGAGGAGTAATTGTTTAATTGTTCATCATGAAGATTATTGATTTGGATGAGAATGCGCGGTGGGTAATAAAGCAGCGACTGACTGCGGGCCCTGTGACGACGGCCTGGAGTTGCTCTTTGTCGTACCTGGTCAGCAGTCTTCTCTTGGGGCTTGAGCTGGGCCGCCCGGGTCCTTCCCCATCCCGGGCTCCCCCCTCCCTGCCCCTGAGGACCAGCCCGGCATACTGGCAATGGCCAATGGCAATGCTCTGCTGGGCCCCCTCTCCCTGAGCCAGAGCCCAGGGGGACTGTGGGTCTGGGAGGAAATCCCCTAAGCTCTGTGGGCCCCAGGCAGGTAGTGCAGGGGGTTGGGGTGCAGGCTGGGGTATGGGTGAGGCAGGAGGTGTGGGGGTTCAGGGTGCGAGCTGCAGTGAGGCAGGAGGTACTGGGGGGTCGGGGTGTGGGTTGGGGTGAGGCAGGAGGTGCTGGGGGTCAGGTGTGGGCTGGGGTGAGGCAGGAGGTGCTGGGAGTTGGGGTGCAAGCTGGGGTGTGGGTGAAGCAGGAGGTGCTGGGGGTTAGGGCACAGGCTGGGGTGTGGGTGAGGCAGGAGGTGCTGGGGATCAGGGCACGAGCTGGGGTGAGGCAGGAGGTGCTGGGGGGTCGGGGTGCGGGCTGGGGTGTGGGTGAGGCAGGAGGTGCAGGGGGTCAGGGCGCGGGCTGGGATGCAGGCACGTGTCTCCCAGCCCCAGCAGCTCCGCTGAGGACCAGGGTTCCTCCTGAAGGGCACCCATCCCCTGAGGGACACCCATCTCCTGAGGGACACCTGTCCCCTGAGGGACACCCATCTCCTGAAGGGCACCTCTCCCCTGAAGGGTACCCATGTAAATGCTTCCACTTGGATTTAAGTCACATCAGACCTTGAGCAACGCTGTGTCTTTCCCTGTGCCTTAGAAAGTGCTAAGCCCCCTACGGGACTGCACGGATTCTGAGGAAGAAGGCAAGAGCCTTTGGGAGAGGCCCTCAGGGCCTTGGCCACTTCCCAGGCACTGAAAGCGCGGGCACGACCACAGATCCGGACGAGGAGGAGCCTGAGGACCTGGGCCACAGCTGCTGGAGGGGTTCTCCTTGGGCGCGTCCTCTGTCCTGGGGTCCCCGTGCTGGGGGACTCGGTCGGACAGCATTCTGTGCTGACAGCCGGGCCCCAGTGTGCGTGGCCATCTCCTCTGCCTGTTCATGCTCCGGCAGCCCTGGGGACCCTGGGATTTCCATCCTCCAGTGAACAGTAGAGATGCCTGTCCTCGGAGCATCAGGAGGGGGCATGCATCTGGCAGAGGCTGTTGCGGCTCTGGGGTGGGCGTTGTCATCTTTGGGGAACTGAGGCTCGGGGTTGAGGGTCAAGTGACTTGTAGAGGGCTGGAGGTTCGACCTTCCCCTCGAAGGTTCGGACCCCCTGGAAGAACTGAAGCCACAGAGCAGTGACACTGCAGACCACTGGCCATCAGAAGGGTCGGCCATGTGCCTGGGCCAAGTGGCCCCGTCCTGGGGCAGCCACAGAGCGGCTGCTGGACCTCGGCGGCAGGCTCTCCCACCTTGTGGGGCCTCAGTTTCCCCAGCTGCTTGGCCTCCTTGTGTGGGAATTAGAGAGGGGGTTGGGCGGTGATGCCTCCATGGCAGCCAGAACATGGCGAGGGCTCAGAACGCACCAGCCCTCTGCTTCTCCCCTGTGCAGGTGGCAGACAGGCCCTTTGGACTGGGTTTCAAGCACGCTGGCTTCAGCTCAGGCCTCCCTCACACTGGCTGCTCTAGATCTTGTCACAAAGTGACCACACAGGTAGTGGTGACACTGGCTCGCGCTCTGAGTGGGGACACTGTGCCGGCTCAGCACCTGGAGGTCTGATGACTGTACTGCCCCTCAGGGTCTCTGCGCTGCCCCAAGTGCTCCCCAAGACACTGTCGGGTGGACACCAGGGCACAGAAAGGGGAAGAGCTTTGCCTAAGGTCACACAGCTCCAGAGCCTGGTGCTTGGGGCCTCCTGGATGGGAGGGAGGACAGGTCACCTCTCCGAGCCAAGCCTAGTTCCTGTCAGCTGCGTGTTGTCTTCTTTCCCAGGACCTTTGGGCCTGGCCCTAACCTCACGACCTGAACTTGCAGCCAGAGCTGCCGGGGTCAGAGGCCCCAAGCGGTGGCCCCAGGGAGGGAGGCTGCTGAGGCAGATTCCCAAGCGAGGCTTGAGGGCAGAGGCTCAGTGACGTGGGAACCTGCAGTGGATTTCTGTGGGAAGAGTCACGTCCACATCTCTGCCCACAGCTGCACTGGGCAAACGACTGGATCCGTCTGGGCCCAGCCTCCTTTTCCACAGAATTGGGGCTTGTGGCGCTTTTGTCCCCAGGCTTGGTGAGGACAAACCAAGATGGCACTTGGAACAGAGGAGGTGCCTGGGAAGACAGAACTCCCTAGGGCTGCTGGGTAGGAAACGTGTTCACTGGGCACCTGGGCCCATGGTTTTGAACATCAGAGACCTAGTGCCTGCTTTTAGGGGATTCAGTACATCCCTGGGCCAGTTACACAACCTCTCTGAGCTGCGTCTCTTTGAAGCTGGGACATTGATGCCTGTCCCGTAGATGTCAGGCTGTGCAGACACACTATGGTACCGTTTCTGGCTGCAGGTGTGGCTCAGCAGATGCCTGATAAATGCGTGGTTCCTGCAGCCATCCAGAGCCCAGGAAGCCATGGACCCAGCAAGTTCATGGCCCCTCATGGGATCATCTCTCCCCGCTGGGGCCCCATGACAGCAGATTCGGGCCTCGGGTCTTACCTCTCTTCTCGGTGGTGATGACTGTGGCCTCCAGTGGCTCTCCCCAGCCCTGCCTTGTCTTGGCTGACAGCCTGAAGATGTAGGCCGACTCCGGGGCCAGCTCTGTGGCCGTGAACTGCCTCACCGTGGCGCCCACCTCCACCGTGGTGAATGTATTGGGGCGACTGCTGGCCAGGCGGTAGGCAATCTGGTAGCCTGCAGGCGGGGTGGGAGGGTGCCTGTGAGTCACGCCAGCCCACAGGGACCCCGGCTTCCCGCTACCTCACCATCAGCCATCACCCTGGTTTGTTTCTCCTTACTTCCTTCCTCCCCGGCCAACATCCTACAGGCAGATATGGTGCCCATTGGGAGGGGCACCACAGCCTCTGCAAAGGATAGAGCCCCAAAGCACTGGGCACTGGGCCCCGTGGCCTTCTTCCCCTTTCAGCCCTCTCTCACCCATCCCTCCCCTCACAGGGCCAAGGTCCCTGCCTCCTCCTAGAAAGTTCTTTCAAATGTGTCCTTCTCACATTGGTTACTCCTGACTCTTCCTGTCTCTCGCGGATCCCAGGGCTCTGAGTAGGAGCTGGTGCCAATAAGGTTCCCTCTCCTGCCCCCGGCGCCCCTTCTGTGCCCCCCGTGCCCCCTCTACAGGCATCCATGCCCCCTCTGCAGCCCCCTGTGCCCCCTCTGTGCCCCCCCACCGCCCCAGAAAGCCCTAGCACCCCCCCTCCGCGGGTTGGGGGCACCAATGTACATAACCCCCTCATGTCAGGGAGGCAGCGGGGTGCATGTGATCAGTTCAGGGGGCTTCAACGGCTCTGAACGTCTCCTAAAGTTCCTGGTTATCAAGGGATTATGGTTGATCTGATGTTATTAACTATCAAAGTCCCAAGCAGGTTGCGCGGGGACCGCCCCACACGTCTGAAGCAGCAGCGCCTCATCACACCAGGCCGGGACCCAGCGTGCCCCGCCTTCTCTTGGGCACAGACGGCTATGCGTCTGTCTGCACTGGTGAACACCAGAACTGGCCGGCGGGGTGTGGTGCCGTCCACACAGCGACGCCCCCCTGGTGGAGGGGGTAGGCCAGCAGAGCCCAGCCCGAGCCCCACCAGCCCTGCCTTCACTGGCCTCCTGGGGGGGTGGCAAGGCCACAGTGCTTCCACGAGCCTGCCCGCCCCTGTGTGTGAGACACCTTCCTCCTTTGTCTTTCTTCTTGCATCTCCTCTGGCTCCATGGACGATGGAGCTTACCAGCATCTTCTGGGATCCTGTACTCCGTCTTCTGTGCAACCATGTAAAGAGCCTCCCCCTGGCGGCCACATGTGAGGCAGGGGGACAACTCCATGCGATCAGCCAGACAATGCCCCTAGCCCGGGGCCCCTGACTGCTGCTGGTCACCATCATCAGCATGCACACTGGGAGGCACAACACGCCCCACCCTTCCACATGATGGCCCCTCACAGGCCTGGTGTCCGCAGGGCCTGGAGCTCGGGCCCCTGACTGGCTGTCATGCTGTGGCTCTGCCTCCGGTGGTTCCTTCTCCTCGCCATGACTGGCTGTCCCCAGCTGCCTCAGGTGGCCTCTGGGCTCTGGCCAGGGCATCCTGCTAGATGCCTGTCCTTTCCCATTCAGGAACTGATGACCAGCAGCCCAGAGAAGTTGAGCGGCTCTTTTCCATGCCCTGCTCCCACCTTTCTTTCCCTTGCCCAGTGTAGGCGGGGAGCCTGGGGTTTGCGTGTCGCGGGAGCCTAGTCCCAGGTCTTCTGAGCCTTCTAGGCCTCATGGGGCTCTCCTGCTGACCTCTGAGCCCTCACCATGGCCACAACAGGTAGCCTATGTGGCCTCACTTGGGCACGAAGCAGTACAGCTCAGAGTGGGTAAGTGGTCTGCCTGAGGCCACACAGCAAGTAAACAGAGGAGCCGGGACTGGAGCCCGAGTCTGCCTGGCTCCAAAGCCAACACGTTTCACTGAGTTATACACTGTTCCTGTGAATAGAAAACCTCCACTCCAACCTTCCAGCAAAGGGAGAGCTTCCTGGCCACTCTAGGCCACGCATCCCAAGTGCCAGCAGCACACGAGTCTGTCCCCAGGGGACAAGAGTGTGTGTCATGTGACGAGCACCTGCTGTGGGAGTGCGAGGCCTGGGCTGCGGGCCAGGCACTGGGAATTCCATGATGTGTGACTGTGAACAAGCACTATGCCCCCTCTGGATCTCAGTCTGTGAGGCTACATGAGGGGGGGCCAGTCCAGGTTCTGTGTGGTGCACACTTTCTCTGAGCCGAGCATATGGTGGGCGCTGAGCGTGGCCCCCTCTGTCATCCAACAGTCACTGCTTCCTGTGTCCAGACCGTGCGTCTAGGGCCCGCATCTCTGGTTAGCTGCCTTCTGGCTGGAACTTGTCCTACTGTCCTGGAATTAATCTTCATCTTGGAAAACTCCTAGCGTTAAGCTGCTCTTTTTTTTTTTTTTTTTTTTTAATGAAGGCATTAAAATGTTATATTGAAATGTTTTGTCATTACTCTTTGGGTTGGATTACACTCACACGGCTCAGCAATAACCCAGGAGTGCAAGGAAGTAGTTTGGAGACAGCCTCCCTATGCCCAGGCCCCAGCCAGCCAGATCCCCTCCGCTGGCTCCTCGGGCATCTTTCTGGTGAGAATCTGAGAGCCCAGAGGCACTCGTGCATCCATGAAGAGACACCCCTGCTCTGCCAATGAGAGTGTGCGCAGTAGGGCAGCATGCATCCCGCGGCACACTGGGCCTTCCTCAGTGGCACCTCTGCGCTTGGCACTTGCTGGCAGACGTCTGGTCCTTCCACAGTTTTATTGTCTGTTTGTGGTTCTCCTAATACTCATGCCTGATGCTCACGATGTTCTCACCCTTGAAGGTCACAATTTCCGCAAGGTCAGTCCCTGGTTCTGCCCACACCCACGGACCCCGCCCTGTGAATGCTGGTATAGTACCACTGTTGTTCCTCTTCTGGTAGGTGCTTTTAACTCTTCAATACATTCCTATCTCTGTTATCTGAGCTATTAACTCTGAACTTCATCTCTTGACCCTTACCCACTGCTTTCAAGTTATATAAATCAGTGCTCTTAGAGCACCTCTCACCTCGATATGTCCCTCTCTGGCTTTTATGAGTCGTGTTATCATTTTTATGCTGTCGGGATGTGCAGCAGAACTACGGGTGAGCAGCGAATGTAGAGCAGCGCATAGGGTAGATCAAAGCTCGGGCGGAAGCCAGGTGCCGTCCCAAGGCAGTGCCATCCACGCGGGGACGCACTCCGTGTACACAGGCTGACGCGAGCCTCAGGTAAGACCGGGGTCAGCAGGGGCCTTGGTGACGGCCCCTTCTCCCACCTGACCACTGGAGGAGAGTCAGCCTGAGTCCCGCGCAAAAAGCACCTGACCAGTCATTAACGTATGCGTGTTCCTCAACGAGAGACAGAACTAAGGAAAGAAAGGTATCTGGCAAAGACAAATCAAACTTTACAATTAAGCACAGAGGCCACGCTGGCAGACACAGACATTACGTACAAGAACATGATCAAATGTAATATTTGTAAAACCTCAAGGAAGAGGTGCGACCTGGTGCCAGTGAGTTCAGCCACTCAAATGCCACGGCGGGTGATGAAGAGATACCAGCCCTCCTCAAAGACACAGAAACTAACTTTGCATTAAAAGCAGGCTTGGGCCCTGTCCAGGTGGACGTGGGATTTCTGCCCATATCCATAGCGGGCAGACCCCTGGCCACGGACATGCATGGCTTGGGACACTCCCCAGGCCCCACTCCCCACTCCCCATACCCCCTGGAGCCCAGGACCATCTGCACCTGCAGCAGTGGCCTTCACTCCGCTTGTGACATCTCGGATGTGGGGAGGCCCTGAGCCAGGCTTCAGCCTCAGCGTGACTCCCAGCTTCTCATTTCCAGCCGCTGGAGGAGACCAGCACAGCCCCCCCCCAAACATGCCATTTTCTCATATTGATTATTTTGCATTGAAGCTACTTAAGAAATAGCCAGTGCAAGAAGGACACTGTGACTCTGCTCTGTCCCCCTGAGAGCAGGAAAGAAGTCTCCCATGTGAAAGTTTCCCTCCCCGCATCAGGAGGAAGAGAGGCTCCTTATCCCAGGCACGGGCAGTCTAGGGCCGAGATGGCTGTATGAATAAATCTTGTTACTTCTTCACTAATTTACTACCCCAAGCCCAAACCCCGCAGTCTTGTCAGTTCTTCACAAATTTATTGTTTCTTTGTCTCGAAGGCATTAAAAGCTGCCTGCTTTGGTCACATTTGAGCCTCTGGTCTTTGGGGAGCATATACACACAGAATTAAATTTACTTGTCTCCCGTTCCTCTGTCTTTAAAAAAAAATTGTTTTAAATGTTTCATTTACAATTTTGAGAGAGACAAAGACAGAAGACAAGGAGGGGAGGGGCAGAGAGAGAGGGAGACAGAATCCGAAGTGGCTCCAGGCTCTGAGCTGTCAGCACAGAGCCCGACGTGGGGCCCAAACTCACAAACTGAAAGATCAGGACCTGAGTCAGAGTCAGATGCTTAACCGATGGAACCACCCAGGTGCCCCTCCTTCTGTTCATCTCTCAATTTAATTTGTGGGGAGCCTGGGCCCTGAGGGCTGACCACCACACAGTATCTGTGACAAGATCTCAGGGACTGCTTCTGGCCATCACCCTTCTGTATGAACAGACTTGAAATGAAGCTGATTTTTCTCTAAATGCAGCCTTTTCATTTGTGCCTTGTCACCACATCTTGAAGGCCTTTTTTTCCCTCTTCAGAAACACGAGCCTGAGTGGCTGTGTGATAGCCCAGTGCATGGACTGGCTACCGGAGGCAAAACCAGGACTGCTCGGGCGGGGGCCGGAGGGGCGGTGCCCACAACGGGACTGCCCTGCGCTCCTCTGCCGATGACCCATGGGAACGATGACGCCCCCACCCCCACCCCCCTGCCATGATGACAGTGCTGCAACATCGCGTGTGAACCACAAGGCAGTGTTGTCACCTGTGTGTACCTGCAGGACACGGGGATTCATCTGTCTGTCTGTGATTCATCTCCCACGTGCACCACTGGGGAAAATCCCCCAGCCCAGGGGTTATATCCGCACCTCCCTGTTATTCGCCCTGAAATCAGGCTCATACCCTCTCGTCCCCATTCTGTGTCCTGGTGAACGTAAAGACTGACACCTATATCTTACGTTG